CAGTTCGAAGCTTTCAACAGAGAGCTTCGACAGCCTGAGCTCAATGAATTGCGCAACCCGATAACCCTGGATGACGTTCGAAGGGCCCTTGTTGGTTCCAAGAACTTTGCTGCTCCAGGCCCAGATGGACTGAACACTTATTGGTGGAAAAAACTACCAAGTACCCACCGCCATCTGGCCAGAGTTTTCAACTCCAGGACGTAGACCAGCCGATTCCGGATTGGTTTATCGAGGGGCCGACCGTTCTTGTCCCCAAAAGCGGAGATTTGTCGATTCCTAAGAATTACAGACCGACAACATGCTTGAATTCGTGTTATAAGTTTTTACAAGCATATTATACACACAAATACTCATCGCAGTTGACCGAGTATTCGAACGGATATATGAGCAGTGAGGATCGAAGAGAGGAGTCGCTGGATGTAAAGAGAACCTGCTCATCGATAGATGTGTAACGCAGGACTCGATACAATATAAGCGTAACCTCTCTATGGCCTGGATCGATTACTGTAAGGCATTTGATGCAATTTCGCATGAGCACATTTTGCATTTGCTCAGATGCCTTGCGGTTTGGATAACCTGATTTTTATAATTTTCTCAAAGATCTTACTGAAGTTCGTGATGAGAGAAATCGGTCTATAATTGGTAGCTTCCGTTGGGTTTCCGTTTTTGAATATAAGACATATGACAGATTTTTTGAATTCATCAGGAAACTGTCCAGTTTCAATGCATTTATTTATAATATAAGTGAGAGGACTAGCTATCTGACTCGCCATCTCCTTGAGAGTTTCCGCTTTAATAGTATCTATACCAGGCGACTTCCGGTTTTTGAGATTATATATAATTCTTGTGACTTCATCTTCTGATGTTGGACTCAGGAAAATTGAATTATTTGTTGATTTTTCTCTCATTGGATTTGAATTGTTTCCCAAACTTTTCCTTGCCAATGATTTTCCTATATTAACATATGTTTTATTAGAAAAATTCGTCATTTCTTTTTCATCATTGATCACATTGTCTTCATCATCTTTTATTTGATTTATCACTTTAGATGTTTTTTGACCAAATACATTGTTTATTGGGTACAGAAATCAAATATTCCAACAAATAACAGATATATTTCGAACGATTTGAATCAGAAATTGGTGGATTTTCTCTTGAACTAAGACTCTAATAATGTAGATCCAAATGAAGAATTGCGAAAGGCTGATGAAATATATTAGCGGTTTCAAACTTTACAGTGCAAGGAAGAGTTTCAGATCCAGTAAAAACTGCTGAATAAATCAATGAATAGAAATTGTGGCGACAATTACTTATCTCAAAGGAAATCAAATGAAGTCAAATCTATCCGTAATCGAGTTCAAAAAATATGATGAGGATATCAAGGAAGTCAAATCATAGGAAAACACAACGTTGCTTAGGTATAAAATGAAGATGAACTTCAATATCTGCTACAAGTTACTTTATCGAAAACCTCGAAATCGTCAGTACTATATGGGATGAAAAGCCTTGGACCTAGCACATAGATGTCGCTGGTTGGTACTAACCTTCCAAAGACAGATGTTGAAATTTCGTGTTTCAACTTTATACTGCTTCTTGATTGGAAAAAATACAGTTCAAGCGAAGCAATGGCTCGAAAAGTGTAAATGAAGCGAAAAGTAAAATAACAATTAAACGTTGGTTTGCTGACGTCAAACGTAGCCGTGATCACCGATGATGAAGAACGCAGTGGACGTACTGAAAATCCACAAAATCGTTATGAATGATCAAAAAATTAAGTTATGTGAGTTAGCTGACATTGTGAAGATATCAGCAGAATGTGTGAGCTTCATATTGTATGAGCATTTGACTATGAGAAAGCTCTGTTCAAAGTGAGTGCCAATAACAAGAACGTCTTGATAATTCTGAGCAATGTTTGGCCATGTTTAAACATAATAAAACGGAATTTTTTCGTCGATATGTGACAATGGATGAAACATGGATTCATCATTCCATTCCGGAATCAAAACGATCATCATCTGAGTGGAAAGCATCTGGTGAATTTCGTCCAAAGCGTCCAAAAGCACAACAATCGGCTGGAAAGGTTATGGCCTCGGTATCTTGGGATGTACATGTAATATTCATCGACTATCTATAGAAGGGAAATACCATCAAAAGTGAATATTATATATCGTTATTGGAGCTTTTGAAGATCGAAATTGCGAAGAAACGACCGCATATGGCACCGTCAATGCACAAATCAATAGAAATAATGGCAGAACTACCTGAACTGCATTTTGAATCGCTTCGTCAGATTTGGCTCCCAGTGACTACCGACTGTTCGCAGTACCAAAAAAATCTTTACCGGTAAAAAATTTCTCGAATGAAGAGGTTATTGCTGAAACTGACGCCCATTTTGTGGCAAAAGATAATTCGTTCTACAAAAGTGGTATTGAAATGTTAGAGCGGCGCTGAAATGATTGTGTGGCTCTTGATGTTGATTACGTTTATGAATAAAGCCAATTTTGACCAAAAAAACGCTGTTTCTTTCTTAGGCTTTGGACTTTTCAGCAGCTTCTTTCCAGTGAGAATAACAAGAATATCAAATCCCGTTTTGGTCATGATGTGATCACTTTGAATCTGAAGTACAAGCATCAGAAACACTATATGTAATGGCAGAAAAAAATGCAACTTTTTAGGTTTTTGCCGATGAGACTCTGAATTGTATATAAACGCTTCTTTGAGAACTATATTGGATGATTTAGCTGCCTCTGGTTTCAATTCACGAAGTTGTCAAAAGAAATTAATTAAATACCTGCATCTAGTATAAAAATCCTATATTTCCAGAAGTGCATTTTAGAAATGCTTTAACTCTTATTTATTGTCCAGAATGTTGTTAATTTTCCTCAAAACGGAAGATAACATCATTAGACTGGCGTTGCTGCCAGCTCTACCTTAAATTTAGTCAATTAGCCAGAAAAAAACAGAACAGCCACCAGATACAAAGTCTGCTGTGTCAGCAATATTCCGTTTTGCATCATGATCGGAAGAAGTGAATGTTCCTCCTGTTGGGTTGAATTTACAATTGTTGGGAATCCATGACTTCAAACCTCAAAAAAAGATTTTCTACAAATATTGGTTGTTGAACTGAAAGAATTACGGGAATCTCGAGCAGCTGAAGTCATGAGCAATATTGCTTCCCAATTGTCTCACATCAGTAAATCTGAAGCAATCGATATTGAATTCTACGAAATTGGAAAAGAGAAAATGACTCGTATACGTATATATCAGTGGATATCAGTCTGAAAGTGATTTCGAAAATTTTTTTGGCTTTCTATTTCTCCATCTTGAGGGTAGAAGAAAGAACTCAAATAAATTTAAAATGAACTTTTCACGAGAATGTGTAAAGCATGCATAGTAAGAAACTTTCAGATACAAGAAAAATGTCCCCCCCAGATGAAAATTTAATTACATAAAAAGAAAATTTCTCTCGAAAGAACTTGAAACATATCCAACTTTCAATGTAAAGAGTACAAAATTCCAAATAGTTCAGGCAACTACATTTTTGCCAAATAGCTCTAATGTTTCATCTAATGGCACCATGGAGATGGATGCAACTCCTCCTCGCGTAGTGAAAAATCTTTCATTGAGAATGAGTTGGAAAAAGGAGAGACAATAATTTTCGATACATTCCCGAGTGGAAGGGTCATTTTTTAATCAATATCCCACATATCCAAATTTTTTTTGCAAATAACCCAAAATGTAAGTTTTCTATCAGAAAGTCACCAGTAATGAAAATGGGGTGTGCGAAAAATTCTAAAAATGGTGGATTCATGGTGTCTGTAGATTCGATGAAGATGAAGTAATGGCTTGTTGGAAGTTGCTTTTCATCTGTTATATGTTACAAGTGAAAGTTTCAATGATAAGTAACCAAAAATACGAAAGTATACCTAAAATGCTCCAACTGATGGTTCTTGAGTTATTTTGGAAAAAACGCTATTTCTGCAAAACTACAAAAAAATGGTTAGATTTTGTTTTAATCAATTCACGAATGGGATCAAGAACAATTGTTATAAAATATAATATACTGGAAATCGACAGACATCCCGGCAACGAAATTATAATCACGAATGAATCATTTTCATTCAAGAAATATCCTAAACCTACTCAGGAAGTAAAACATGCAAATCGTTTTTCCTTGAAGTAATTTTTTTTAAAACAACTGAGTACATCTCAATAGAGATATCTGGAAAACGAAATATGTCACATCTAAATTCATATAACGAAAACTCTTGTGAAGAGTTATAGAATGAAAAAAAACGGCGCTAGGAGCCAAGAATGGAAAAGTGCATATCTAAAAATTCTGATTATTCTGACCATTTATTCGAGAAATCGATTCTCTTTCTCAAATCATGAAAAATCAATTCCACAAATGATTGGTAGTTTCGTTCAGTCTCTGCTTGCTTATATCCCGTATGGATCACCACAAAATCGAGATTTTTTCTTGAAGACCACAAAAGAATTTCCTTTCATGAGTAATTGAATGAAATATTTTCATGCCATTAACTATTATTTCTTTTAGTGTCGGAAAATGTAACTTTTTGAATAATCGAATACAAATTATGAAAATAGGCCGATGAATTTTCACATCGTGAAACTTTCAGGTCTAGAGAATTAGGTTAAAAAAGCTCAGTTGAATTTCTGGTATTCCTAAAAATAATTTGATCTGATATGGATTGACTGAATTTGGAACTTCCACCTCTTTTGATTTTTCGTGAATGTCATAAGGTAAATGGTATTTTTGTACCAATTCCATTATTGGTAAAGTTCATTCTGTTGAGTTGCCAAATCTATTGACGTATGAAAGCCACTTCAAATTCCACTCTGTATTTTTTAGGAGCTGTCAAAAATACAACAATGAGTTTCTTCGCTAATATTTTTCCCGAAATAATTCATTCATTTCTGCCATTGTTTTGGAGAATGAAACAAAATAATTTTCAACCGTATATTCTATATGTACTCACCCTGCTTCGAGGAAAGAAAGAGTGACCAACTGCAGAAGCCACAGTCAACCCGCCTTCGGGTTGGCCGGAAACCACCACCGTCAAACTCGCCACCAGGAAAACTACGGCCAGGTTACTCATCCTAACAGGTGGCAGTCTTCTTCCACCAGATCGGACACGGTGTCGCGACGCGTAATGTGAAATCTCTTCACGACGCTCTCAGTTATATAGCGTCGTTCGAACGCGCCACAACGGCCCTTGCGCCCAAACGAATCGACGACGTCGTTTTCCGATTGTTTTTCTATCAAACACGCACTGCCGCACTGTTTCAAGTACCGATGAAAGATTGTTTTTTCACTTGACGTTCTTCAAGTTCAGAGATTATATTCAACAGTAAATATATCGATTGTATTCAACATTTTGAGTGAGTTCCAGATGTTGTTCAGGTTGTTACTGGAGGTCGTGGTAATATTGGAGGGGGTGATTCTGTGATGATTCTGAGAAGAAAACTGTCGTAAATCTACAAGATGAGCTTCAGTTATGATGAAACTGATTTAAATTTCACCATGTGCCTCGTAGTGTCAAATCAATGAGCTGAGCTCAGTTTTAACACACATTATTTTCATGAGATCGTTCATATGCACTTTGTGTATGACTGTACAAATGGAAATTTTATGATGGAATTATTTGGAATCACCTCAAACTAGGCTAAAACGTCAATTTCTGTATATTCAGATAACTAATAAAAACGTTTTTTAGTTCCCCTCCTCTCAAAAACTTTTCCATTGATCCTAATTCGACGATGAAGCACAGCAAAAAACGCCGATTAGGTAATTCACGATCGTGGAACGGATTGCTGTAGTGTTGGAATGGTCTTAGGTTATTTTTCTGGCAAACCAAGTAGGATTCTAATACATCATATACGCTCCAGTATATTTTGTACTTGTGAAATAATTAGATACTTTCACATAAGTCGCTCATTTTCAACTTTAAGATAAAACGTGATATGAGCTTTGTTGTAAAGAACGTTTTTACGAATCGAAATGCATGATGAAATATAGGCTGTCCCATCTGAAAAAATCCTACTAATTTGCCAATTTAACCGAATTCGTAGCATCAATAATAACGTATTTAGCAACGGTGCCGACTTAATTTGGAACGCCCTGTATATTTACAGTACTCATCATCGTCTGGTCGGAAATTTATTCGAAATATACAGACAAATCTGAGAAAATAGCCCAAATCGAAAAAAAAAGAATGAAATAGAACCGCATTCGGAAACTGTAACTAGAAGCATTGCTAGAAATCTAAACGTTGGTGATCAAGTTTTTTGAATGATGTTGTCAAATAAACTACCTAATCCTATTATATTCAAATAGTTCAAGCACTGCTTTCCTGTGACCTTCGGATGCAGAATTCTGCCATTGGTATCTCCAGAAACTGACAGCAAATCCACAGTTTGAATATAAAATCATCTTTACAGTTGAAGCTGACATTACATGACAATCTTTCTTGAACTTTCATGGTAATCATTCATTGTGTGAACAGAATCCACATGCTATTTCAGTGATAAAGTAATATAACGTTAATAAACGAAAAGAACTTTTCACTATTTTCATATGACTTAATAAGATCGAAGACATATTCTGCTCATATCAGTTTCTAGTGGAAAAAGTGAAATTCAAATCTAGATAGATGTTTCACCTAAATATCTTCCAAACGGTATGAAATATTGAAAGATAAATGCTTTTATACATAATGACCAATTCGTTTCAGGAAAAGTAGCTAGTGACGCCGTAACGAAGGTTCAGAAAAGAAAAGATCTGTTACCAAAAAAGGTAACACCTCAGGCGTTGCTGATACTTCGAAATACTATCTCCATCCTCGCAGTCAACATTTATACCACTGAGGGTGTCTGTATCACTAGCATACGAAACGTTCAGTACGTTAAGTTCCATTCCAGCACGGCCTTCCAGCCCCAATAATGTTGTTCTCTCCAAAGGAGACATCGGCCATGAAAGCCTTATGAAGAGTTCAATACTTTTTCATAGCCCAGTTTGAAATTGACAGCTTCAGAAATGTAAGAGGCGTAAAATGAAATTTAGGCCTGTTAGAGCCTGTTAAAATATTGATTTCTAAAAGTTTTCTTGTCACAATCATCGGTAGAATCATCTTCCCAAGTATATACCTACATCTACATCGCAAACATTGTTTGGTACCCCTAAATAATATTCATTCAGTAATGTATGTAGAAAATTAGAGCCATGTTGCCTTGCAGTGAAAGGCAGAGGACGAATCTCGTCGGCGGTCGATGTCGAAGCTTGGCTTTGGCCGCCTTGGGGAGCCTCTTTCAAAGATTTCATCCTCGTAAGGGGATATATCATTGCCATTATTTAGTAATATATGTTTTATAGGCATCTAATTTCCGTAGGGACACTTTATACAAAGATGAACAGCGAACAACTATAGTAAAGAATAGTAACGATGAAAATGATATTGAGTAATTTCGCAAGTACTGGAAGAAATTTCATTAGATTGTTGGGAAATTGTTGATGAACTATAAGACGATACAAGTTGAGGAGTTACTGACAGTAGTTTTAGATTTTCAGATATTTCGATACGAATAATTCATCAAACTTTCAACGACATTTGAGGAAACCGATCAAAATGATTCCCTCGACCTTTTGTACAATTGTTGTACAAAAGGTACAAAAATACAGATTTCGAGCTTGAGAGCTCGAGCTGTATTTGACAGAATTATCGACAGTATTGCTAAATCTATTCGCGGCGGATGGCGCTCTACTTAACCTCCTTGATATAATTCGAAGTCACTTTACATGTATTTTTTTATTTGAAAATAGTATTTTTTCATTAACACTCGCACCTGCTGCCTTATTTGTAACCCTCCTTTGCGTGCTTGCTGCCTTGGGTTTGGTAACTGATTTTCAGGCTCCCTCTCAGGAATCAGAAAATATCAATGGTCATTTTTCTAAACAATATTACGGCTGATTGATTCCAAAGTTTAGATAAAATAAACATAGTATGAAAAGACAAAAAAGCGCGCTTTTATAGCATACGAAACTAAAGAATGGAAAATAAATATAGTTTAAAAACTCAAAAACACGCTTTTAAAGAACATCGTACTGAAAATTGAAGAAATTTTTTCAAATAAGCTCAAAACAATAACGAACGAAAAATAATAGTATTATTGTGAAAAAAGCGTGGGCGCTTTGTGCCATATTTTTTGTATAGCAAGCGCCCGCCGCTTGAACTATATTTATTCATTTTCAAATATTCAATGGCTGTCCTCGTACAATGAGAAGTTGAGAATAATTCAGTAGTAGATACTTAACTCCTTTCTATAGCTGCCCACTGTTCAAGCCAACATGAGTATGAATGCTTTAGAATATATACAAACCACCAGTCCCAACTCAATATACCTCCTACAAGTTGGTTTTCAGAAAAGTCATCACTCAAAACTTATTTTGATATATAACAGATGTTGATTTCTCCAATTCACGAACACTTCAATGTCCACCAGTTCTTGGCTTGAATAATCAAACGCTCAATTAATTTGCTATTACGGATTCACATCGGGTACCAACCGATCTCCTTTCTTTTTGTACTTGATGTTATATACACAGTTTGCTCTCGTGAGGGCCAAAATATTATTCTCGATGTTTATTTTATCTACACCACGGCACATTGTGGGATCCGGTTCAAATCTCAACTTCACGGGCGGAATTGATACGATGAATAACACAAAAGCACCGTGACTTTGTTATCGTTTTCACTATTGTTCCAAGTCCTCGGAATTCCTCTTCAAATGGGATTTCTCTTTCAGGTATATAAATCTTAGTGATATTGCCTTATTGTTTGGAGCTAACTGGATTCCATTGGTAATAAGATCAGCCAAAAATACTTATAGTTTGATTATTTGATAACATTTCACTGGTAGGACAGTCCCCAAGAATAGCCGCAATTCTCGAGTTACCTGTAACAAACAATGAATTGATTATGTTGCAGATGGCATTAGTTTCTTGTATGGGATGTTTATGTATAACATTTAGAATTTCAGAAAATCTGAAACTCGGATCAAAATGATTCTACTCGTATATTTGCCACAGGACAATATTAATATTCCTAGTTTGGACTTCCATTGTATAATATTATTCTAAATCTAAGAAAGAACAAAAAATTTAGAAAGAAAAGCTAAATTATCAATTATATTAAACAATAGAACGTAAAATGAAAATACAATAAAACGAATGAAATAATCAAGATAAATGATGAAAATAACCACAGAGTGAAAAGAAATAAAAAAGAATGAAAATGTTCAGACCACACGACTGAAGTAAAACTTCTGTGGCTCCATCTATATGTATATACAGGGCGTTCCAACGAAAACTTGAACCCCCCTGTAAGTCAGAAACAGACGTGTAATAGAAAATTTCACAGACACATCCATTTTTATTCCTAGCAGGACTAATTCTGATATGGAAATCGTACTCGAAACTTCACCCCCTGCGGTCAGCAACTACCCCCCCCCCCAATTTTTTAAGAGGCATGGGGGTCGAGTGATACATCATTTGAAAGATCTTATGTCCCTCTATTACTTCTGTGATTTTTTTTTAAATTGGTTCATTCGTTATTGACAAATCAAATGTTGAACGTTTTATTTAAGGAAAAACAGAAAATTCGCTGTCGCTCATTTTATTGAGGAAATCAACGAAAGTAATATTAAAGGCAACACAATCAACGAATAAAGCATTCAGTCTACTTTTAAATGCGTTCCTTACCTTATTGAAGATGTCCGTAGTCAGAAATCGGCATTCCTGAACAATTCTCTATCGCAGGTCTTTTAGATTTGTAGAATTTATTTAATTAGTAGTAACGTTTTGAAATGGACCATACTGTTAGTTTTATCTGCACTGGTAGTTTTTGTTGAATCTAGTTATCGCAGAACAAAAAGTAGATAGTTGGCCACTGTCACTTCTTCACGAATTATTATTCAGTTATTCATTCTACTAAAGAAAGAATGGAAATTGTTGCCACATATTATCGAAATAATGAATGTGCTAAAGCTGCTACAAGATTCTATAATACGAATCAACCAGACCACAACGTGAGCTATCTATACGTTATATAATTAATCGGTAAGTTTCAAATTTCAGGTTCTGTTCACAACAGAAAACATGAAGTATCCCGTCCTGTCAGAAATGACGGAGTTGAAGTTGCAGTTTAAGGACATGTATAAAAGGATAATCGACAATCTATCAGACAAGTAGTTACAGTGTTTGGTGTATTACCTACTAGTGTTTTTCGGATTTGAAAGCCTACAAATTTCATCCTTTCAAAATGAAGCTAGTTCAGGAATTAAACGAAGATGATTCTGATCGTCGACTTCAGTTTTGTGAGGGGTTCAGCAAGAAATTTACCAATAACCCAAACCTATTATACAATAGGTACATGTTTTCCAGATGAAAGTTCTTTCATGTTGAATGGTAAAGTCAACAGACATAATTGTCGTTACTGGAGCGATGTGGATCCTCATTTGGTGATGGAAACACATTCACAAACCCAAAAAAAATTGAATGTTTGGCCGGCATTCTTGGTAATCATATTTTTGAACCATACTTCATTGAAGGTAATACCAATGGAGACATATACGTAAATCTATTACGGGACTGTGTAGATCCTATGATCACACAAATTTTAGAAAATGATGACAATTCAGTAGAAAATGAAATAACATTCCAGCAGGATGGTGCACCCCGACATTTTTATGTTCGGGTGAGACAGTTTTCAGACGAACGTTTTCCAATGCGTTGGATCGGCAGAAGGGGTCCAGTGGAGTGGCCAACTAGATCACCTGATCTCACACCGATGGACTTCTTTCTGTGGGAACACCTGAAGTTGAAAGTGTACTCTACTGAGCCTACTAATCCAGAAGACCTGCGACAGAGAATTGTTCGGGGATGCCGATTGCTGACTCCAGACATCTTGAATAATGTACGGAACTATGTATAGAACTAGGTGGAGGTCATTTTGAACAACTTATTCATTCATTTTGTTTCCACGGATATTATTTGTTGTTGATTTCCCCATTGAAATGAACAACAGGGAATTTTCAACATTCAATTTCTCAATAACGAATGAACCAATTTCGAAAAAAATTACATAGGTAATAGAGGGCCAAAAGACCTTTCATATGTCGTATCACTCGATCCCCCATGCCTTTGAAAAAAATAGGGGAGTTAGTTGCTGACCGCAGGAGAGTTTTGGGTATGATTTTCATATCAAAATTAGTCCTCCTAGAAATGAAAATTGACGTGTTCTTTGAAAGTTTCGATTGAATGTCCATTTCTGACTTACAGGGGAGGTCAAATTTTCGTTGAAACGCCCTTTATAAATTACTGTATTTTATGGGGTTGCAGTCAGATTGGAAAGGCTGTTACAAAGAAGACTCTTTGTTATGTGTTAAGCTTTCGATAAATTCGTTACTTTCGTCAGCACAACTGAAATAGATTACAATATACTTATTTTATATATAAATATAGAACATTTACTAACGGGAGAATAATATAGACACTGGAACATCACGAAAAGAAATAATAGGCATAACAACTTTTTTTTAATATGTCAAATTTTGACAGAGTGTTATGTGGAAAAATTCTGTATACTAGATGATTTTTTCTCATTTTTCTCGTATTCTACTAAAAATATATAAATTTAGCTCAAATTGTTAAGATCTTCGTTATTGATGTAAGTCATTTCTAAAAATGTTCTTTTAGTTAAGTTGGTTTCTCTATCCAAAATTTCTGGGTTCTCAAAATCCATTTTGTGATCCTCCTTATTGACGTGTTCACTTAATGCGCAAAAATTAACGTTTCGTTTGCAGTCGCTTTTGTGTGCGTATATGAAATTTTGTATATTATGTTGGATTTTTGTTTATTCAAAAGAGGAGTTTTGACCTAACTACTGCCGGGTAGTAAAAAAAATAGTGTCTTACGGTGAAACATCGATGTCTACCATGTAAGTGAAATGTTTACGTTTCATTTGGTATATTGTGTAGAAATCCTGTGAATGTATCTGATTTAATTCCATAACGAATATTTCGAATACAAACTGAGTAGAGAAAAGTGTTTTCTATATAATTCAGTGTTCATATAAAAGTATTTGTTTCGAAAGAATTCTTTTTTCGTGTAATTCAATGTTTATATGGAAGTGGCTGTGTCAGCAAGGCTTTTTCTGCCAATTTTTGTCCGAAATTTACTTCTTTGCATTATCTATACATCTATGTATAAAGTTACTTATTTTAAAATTGAACACTTCCTTCCTTTCTTTGGAAGATTCCCAAATCAAGATGGAGCAAGAGAAAGCCAAAAACTTTCTTTCCCAAAAAAAAACAGTGTTTCAAATTTAAAAATTGCCTATTTTATGTTATGTACATGTACACATGAATGAATAGATTCAGGAATATAACATCTGCCTCTTCTCCAAATATACTGTGACTGAATAAAAATTGTTCTGAACTAAAATCAATTTCAGTTTCTTCAGAAAATTTTGTGCCGAATTTTTTTTTCTGCAAATACAGACTTGATGAATGAAAATGGAACGAGGCAGGTGAATAAAAAAAATGATTGCTCAGTTCCGTCGGTTCTTATTTTGACTGAAAGAGGTTAATTTTTTATGCATATTTCCAACCACATTACCCCCTCTCTCGGCAAGGTGCGATCTAACCTATACGCTTTTTCACTTTTGGAAGTATTTTTTCAAGAACAAAGAACAAGCACTACCAGAAAATCCTTAAGGCGTTCTAAGAGCGGTGCCTGTGCGAAAGTAGCGATTCACGTTAGATTTGAATGACTGGAGATTAAATTCATTTAGAAAAATTTTCTCACGAAGTTTATTCCACATAAACGCAGTTGTCCAAATGAAAGAGTTCTCGAACAGCGAAGTTTGAGTTGTAGCGAGTTGAACCTCAAAACGATGAGCGGCCACAATACGTCGCGTATTTCTGAAATGTACCGCTCTTTTAATCGAATGTGCCAAGTCACTTGAACGCCTTCCGTGAAAGTATCTGTATGAGAGAGACGAATCTCCAACCTTTCTTCGATGTTCCGGACTATCAAAATTGCAAGTGTTGGCTCTTTTCTGGATAAAATCCAGCAGGAGATACGTCAAAGCTTAAATTGACGCAAAGTTGCATTTTTTGTGCTCAACAAAATACCGTTTCCAAACTTGAAAAATTCCGAGTATTTCCTTAAATATCAGGAAAGAACTGAAAATCTGAATTTTCGTTTTTATTTTTTCCAGCTTTATTTGACAGCAAAGCTCAAAACCTAAAACATATTTTCATCGATACTTTTTTTCAGCTACACGTTTGCGTCATTTTTTTTTCTATTATGGGCGACATATTGTTTTTACACAAAAAAGGGTGCTTCTCATTCTGATTTCATTGATGTGTATTTCTTTATGAAATCATAGATATTAAAAAAAATAACTTCATCTGAGAAGGTCATGACTTTATTGAAAAATTTTGTTCAATGAACACTATTCGTCAGAACTCATCAAACATCATAAATTTGCACAACTACTTCAGTCGAAATATCCTCATTCTCAAATGAAGAGTAACGAGATATGTTGAAACTTTAATATAAATTTGATAGGGGTAGTACGAAAACAGCACAAACATATTTTGAAATATATTCGGAAAGACAACAGCCGGATAGAAACATTATTCGGTATTTTGGACAAACACTTGGCTGAGTGCAGTGCGTTTCAAAAACCAAGAATGAAATCATGAGCTTGTTAAAAATGCACAAAAAGTATAAAAACAGGTGTTTGAAATGATGGCCTTCCTCTTGAATACATAAGCGAGCTCGTCGTCTCAAATCAAAAAAAGCCCTAACAATATCCCTTCTTCTGAGAGATCTAAATTGGGTGATGACATTTTCTCTAAGTTCACCCACTGTGTCATATTCTTGCTTT